TTTGTTTTAAAATTATTTAAAATTGTTAAATATGTTACAAATACATCATGATTATAATACAGTATCGATATCATTTAATTGTTTGGCAAATATTGTTGTATTTTTATTTGATTAATTAAAACTGATAATTGTATCATTTACAAATAAATAAAAAACCAAACATATCGATAAAAAAATCTTTCTATTCAACATCAGAATGTTATTTCGGTGATTTGATCAACATTACTTTATTTGAGAAAATTATTTTTATGATGTCAATTAGTCATAAAAATTTATTGATATTGTCAATAACAATTAGAAAAGTTGTTGTTATGGACAATTAAATTAGAGTTATGTTTTTGTGATTGAACCGTATTTATGTTAAAAATTTTAATGTTATAAATATTTTTTTTCATTTTCTTGCAGTTTTTTGTTAATATCGTTTAAAAAGTGCTTGAGTTAAAATTATTCTCAATTATCGGGAAATATAGTAAATGTTACAATCATTATAATAAAACCTTTACTTCATCTTCTTTTGTTTGTTTAATAGTGCTATTGTGTGGTCAAGTTTTGTGCCCAAAAGTTTAACCTTTTTAAACAAAATTTCATAACTATACAGATTAAGGAAATATGGATGACTAGTATAAAGTCGATGACAAGAAATAATGTTTTATAAAACAAAAAATAAGATCAATATTTTTAATAATACGTAAATTGAATTAACACTCCATGTCAATTTTCTCACCTAAAATGATGTTCATATTGTAATGCTTTTGAAGCTAACTAACATTGTTTTTTATCACTATCTGGAACAATTTTTAAAAAATATGGCTTTAATAAAAGCAAAAAATGATAAAAGGATTAGTTAATTATTAAGGAAATAGCACACATTTTTAAAAGTGTAAAAAAATAATCAATTGGCAATGTATGAGAGCATGTGTGCGTCATTTTAAAGTGAAGGTATAGTTTCCAGTTATGTTAAAAGCGCTTACAACATTTTCATTAATATATGAGCTGCTTTTCGACTTGTCAAGTAATTTCGGACTTTCTACAGACAACAGTAATCTACAATTAAGCAACAGTGATTAAACTTACAACCATCGACAACGACGTTAATAACGTTAACATCACATACCTCAATCCAAAGCAAATGACAAAGAAAACAAAGATTTGTTATCAAAAAATGGCAAAATCCACTGTTTTTAATTAATTCAACTAAGGTTCAAATGAACCCATTCTTTAAATAAAAGTAAGATCATGTGAAGAACAAACTTGTTTTTTAAGAACTCGTGAGACTGTTACTCCATCTATTTTTTTTAAAAAAAATAAACTGTTTGGAAAGTATATGAAACGATGGTAGTAATTGGTAAAGTCTAAATTGAGTATTTGTTGTTTTTGGTTAATTCAAGTGAGTTTTGTAAATGAGGGTTTGTGGTTTCAAAAGTGATCATTTTTTTTCATAATCAAAGTTTTTATTTATTAAGATCACCTTTTTAGAAGAGCTTAAAAACGATATTGCACTTTTTTTCAATTTATAGTCTTTTTCCTTTCATTTCTTTGGAAAACAACAAAAAATTGCAAATAAATGTTGTTCCACCGACTTTATTTTTACCCTTTTTTTAGTGATTAAAAATTTTAAAAAATAGGGATTAATAGAGAATAGAAATTATTGAACAAAAAACACTATTTGAATAATGGTTTATTTATACTTTGTCACCGACTTTTTATCTGTAATATAATAATTTTTATTATATACTTTTTTATTATTATAGGATAATAATAAAATCATTTCTGTATGTGCTTTTTACAATATTATACATATTTGTAAATTTAAAAATATAAAATCTATACGTTATCATCATTAAACATACATTTTCGAATGAATCGTTATGTAATATTTGGTTTTTATTGTATATTTACTTGATTTCCATCATTTATTTGTAATATGTGTTTAAACACAAACAAACATTTAATTTGTGTGTGAAATAATATTTCATTTATAGTTTTGTTATTATAAGTAATGACCATTATGTGGTGTTCAAATTTGAACAAAAAAGTATGTTAAGCAATATAATACAATCATTTTTAAAAATTTAAAATCAAATATAGAAGTAACTATTTTCACATAAAGATATAATTTTTATTACAAGACAAATTCAATAAGTTGTGTTTGGTTTTTTATCACCAAATCCTGGTTTTTAATTTCATTATGTTTATTACTAAACTATTTATAGTTTTAAACATAATAGACCAAGTCTTCATGTTAAACCTTTGTATTAATATATGTATTGCTGTTATTTTCATTATCACTGAAATAAAGTTCAAATATATGATATATTTTCATTTGAATAAATAACAAACAACGAATTACAAAGCGAGTTCATTTATTATGTTATCAATAGATGCTCTGTTTGCTTTTTCTTGAGCCCAACACATCTGTATATTTTCATACAACTTCTCTTGTATATTTTCTTTTCTTTGAAGTCGTTATCCAGACATCACAAATTCTGCTATTTTCCATGGAAACTTAAATGCGTCAAGTGGATAAGCATTAGTCCACCCAAACACTTCATACATAGTGACACCAAACGAAAATATGTCTGCGCTTTTTGTGTACTTTTCTTTTTTCAACACCTCAGGCGCCATGTAAACTGGCGTTCCAATACCTTTAGTGAATGTCATGTTAGTCATCAACAAATTGATATTTCTTGCACTTCCAAAGTCAGTCAATTTAGCATTCACTTTATCATTTACATCAAATGTAAACACAAGAATATTGTCTGGTTTGATGTCTCTGTGTAATATCCCATTCTCATGCAAATATGAAATCTTTTTTGATGCATCTCTCATTATTTTGACTCGCATTTTCATGTCAACTTCGTCATTCGTTTTGTGGTTATCAAGTCTTGTAAAGACCCATATTGTGCAAACTCGGTGACCATACACGTCTTGTTTGGTATAAACACAGCGCCATAGAAGTGGACGATATATTCACTCCGAAATTTGTCCAACATCTCAACTTCTTTTGTAAATTCAATCATTCCAATTTCATCATTTGAGTTATCAACGTGTTTCATCTTTTTGACTGCAACAACATTTTCTCTGTAAGTTCCTTTGTAGACAATTCCAAAAGACCCTTCACCAAGTTTCTTCTCTGTTTTGATTTCGTCGTAATCAAGACGTGTTGATTGTTCCACCAGTGCTTTGATGTTCATCAAAGTCGTGTTTTGTTTACCACCTTTTAAATCAAGTGAAACAATCATGACTTCATCAGTCAAATCCATTGTGCAATATGGCGTTATAAATACTTCAAATTCACATGCAAATCCGCTTTTTAAAGTCACAATTTGTGGTTCTGTGCGAATTTTGTATTTGTCGCATTTGTCTTTTGTTGTGATTTGGATTTTCACGTTACTTTTAGACGAGTTGCCAACACATAACAATTCGCGACTTTCAGTCTCAATGCAGATCTTGTCGTCTTCATCACCAAATGAAATCATATTTTTGTTTGATAGAATGTCGCCATCAAGTTTCGTCATCATAATATTGGAGCGACTCATCTTAAAAACACACACATTTTCAGCGTGTTTGTTATCTTTCTTTCTCAACACAAACAGAAAAACAATTATTACAATTGAGATAATTATAACAACCAAAACAGCAACACACACTACTGGAAGACCAACAACCACACCATAATTCGTGTTTGCAAAACACTCAATTTTGTCGTCACTCAACTTGTAGCCATCTGCACACTCCCAACACAAGGAGTTCTGTGATGAGATGCAATTTTGTATTTGTGAGAAGTGAACACACACGCTGTCTTTCAGAATGTTGTTATCACCACATTTTAAACATTCAAAAGTGGCATCACAAGTTGTGCAATTTTCACCACATTTGTAACACAAATTGTCTTTCAGTGCAAACCACCTTCGCACAATGTACACCCACTCGTCGTCTTGTTCAAACAGTTGTTCAAGTCTGTCTGTGGGTTGCACAACTTTGTGTTGTTATTGGGTGTTCTGTAATATCCATCACTGCAAACCAAACAATCACCATCATTGGAACACGTTTTACACGACGTGTCACATTTAACGCACTGCTTGCCATCACTTGATCGCATGTACCCGTCTTTGCACGCAACACACCCCTCATATGTCGACATCATCACATCACACACGCCCAATATCTCATTGATTTCGAAACACTTGCCATTCTTGGTGTACGAGTACGCATCACACTTTGTGCAATACTTCAAATTGGAGCAGTGTGTGCAGGGATACTCACATCTCACACAAACTGAATTCGATATGTAATACCCATCACCACATCGCAAACACCCTTTGAACTTCTCAGTATGCAGTTGTCTGTTGTTGTTTCACTTGTCAATTGTAAATTGTTTGCTTTTGATGTGTTGGTATCATTTTCAACGCACATGTTGTCAACAAGAAGATGTGATTTGATGCACTCCAGACAAGACGATGACACAACACTCACGTGCTCACAATTTGGGTATTTCTCTTGTTTTGGCAAACACCCAGTCGTGTCTTTGTAATGATCGTCGTCACATTGAGTACAAACATATTTAACAAACTCTTTACATTTGATTGAATCTGTTAAAACGCATTTCCCATCAACTGTTATTTTGTTGTTGCTACACAAAATGCAAATTTCTTTGTTTTGAATCACACACTCGTTGTCATTGGAAACACATCCACCATTTGCAATGTGATGGTTTTGTTGACATGTTGTGCACACACTTCCACTGTAATTTGCGCAGTTAAAGTCTTGTGAACACAAACCGTTCGTTGTCATCACAAATTCACTTTTACATGATATATTGATTATATATCCATTTACAATTTGACAGATCTCTGCATCCTCACAATTTGCAGTATTACCATCTGTGTTAAATGTTGTGTGATATCCTTCATTTGCCAAATAACAAAACTCGTTTTGTGTGTATTTGCAGTTGTTGGCTTTGATGCCTTCTTGTGTGTTATTGTTGTGGATCAGACAGACAGTCTGGTCGTTATGAGTGAGTTGGTATTTGCAAGTGCTTTCAATTAAACAATTGCCGTTTGTTGTGATGACGTTTTCAAAACAGTTGTTGCATGTTTTCATTGAATAATCAAAGCAATTGTCTTCTGTTTTTTCAATGCATTTTCCATCGACTAAAATGTGGGTTTCATCACACATAAAACAAATAGAATTCACTTGATGCAAACAGCCAACATCATTAACATCACTTTTTGATGTTTCCGAGTTTAAATGTGTTGTGTTTGAATACGCCAATAAACATTCTGATTTGTCATCATTAATAACATACGATACATAACATTTTGTACATAATTTATTCCTGTTGTTGTATTCACACAGTTAACAATTTGGAATTAAATCAAAACAACTCATACGCCTATTTGAAGTGACTTTCACTTCGCCATATTTACATGATACGCACCCACCACCATTTGATACAAAATCACTTGAACACGACAGACACTCACTGCTCTTTTGTGAGCACTGCACACAATTTGTTATTTGTGAACAATTGTAACAGCTGTTCTCTTTCAGGTAATACCCACTCACACACTCAACACATATTCTATCGAATTCGTTTGCATTCAAATCACATGAAACACAATTATCATTCAACGAACACGACACACACTCTTCATTTCCCGTATTTTGATTTGTAACTTGTTTGAAGCCAGACTGACATGTTGTGTACTCGCCACTCTCTCTGTAACAGTTTACACACTCAATTGGACACGATGAACACGATGATGTCCCACCAGGTGAATAATGCCCATCACCACAGAGTTCACATTTCCCATTATTGTCAAGTCCATATCCAGCATAACACGTCAAACACTTGCCACTGACACTACCACACGTTTCACAGTTGATATCACACGAATTGCAAAATGTTTGTCCTTCATTTGGTTGATATGTTTTGTCTCCACATTGTTGGCATTTGTTGTTTGCTGAATTTGCATAAGTATTAACTGGACAAATGTGGCAATCGAACAACTCATCTAAACCATACCCAGAAATGCAAGTCGTGCAATTCCCATTTGTGTTGTTGCATGTAAGACAACTAACACTGCATTGCAAACAAATTGATGATTTTTCTGTTGAATAATACCCATCTTGACAAAGAAAACATGTTGCTGATTGATTGTGTGAATACGTTCCTGCTGGACAGACATCGCATGTGTTTGTATCTTTGTTTGTTGCTGTTCCGGCTTGACACGGAATGCAGTAATTTCCTGATAAAACACAACCAGCCATACAAGTAGAGCAGAATCCATTTTCCCCATTACACGAAGTGCAATAATAGTTGCATTCTGTACATGAAATTGAAGAAGTTGTATTTGAATAAGATTTATAAAGACATGACATGCAACTGGCACTTCCTGATACACTTGAATATGTACCTGTTTGGCAGGGAGTGCATTTAATTCCATCACCATACGTCCCAGCAACACAATTATAACAACTGTATTTGTTGTCTACAAACTGCCCATTCTTACAAGAAGTACAATGTCCATTTGTTTGGTCACATGTTACACACGAAGAACAGTTTGTACAAGTCGAACTGTTTTGCAAGGAATAAGTGTTGTCTGGGCAACTGGAGCAAGTTTTTGAATTGAAATATTGACCAGCTGGACAACTCACACAAAGACCGTTTAAAACAAACGAATTGTTATAACAAGTCAAACAGTCCCCATTTGTTGAATCACATGTTTTACATGTTGTTTTGCAACTTGAACAAGTACCGCTACTAGTTTTGGCATAAGTATTTACAAGATATTTTGAACACGAAATAGTACCACCTGGTGAGTAATAACCCGCTTCACAAGCCTTGCAAACTCCATCTGACACAAAGCCGCTTCCCAATGAACATGAAGTGCACTTCCCAGTTGTTGAACTACAAGGAGCACACTCAGAAGTCGAACATAATATACACACCGAAGCCCCTTCCAATGAATAATAACCATCTGAACACAGCGTACAACTTGAAGATCCAGATAATGAATAAGTCCCAGAAGAGCAATTACTGCATTTTGTTGAATTCGAAGACTAATAAGTCCCAGCAGAACACTCTGTGCAAACTTCTTTATTATCCCCAAAGGAATAAGTCCCGGGAAGACATGTTTCGCAAAAATAAGAAGTACTATTTGGATTGTATTGTCCGTCCGGACAAAGAGTACATTCAACTGCTGTATAATTTGAATAATAACCTTTTGGGCAACGATACATGTAAATACCATCTGGACAGTAAGTCCCCTTAAGACACATCAAACAAAACTCGTTAATTACATGATACCCCTTTTCACATATTAATGCAGCAAAAGAAGAACGTATAAATACAAAAATAATTATAGTCGACATAACATGAAAATTGAGCATATATTTTTATAGTTCAATTAAATGCTTTAAATTAAATAAACAAATTTAAAAAATGATAATTTGGTAATTTTGTATTAATTGTTGGTAATAAATAATATAAAGGATTTATAATTTTACATATTTCAACAGTTTTGTATTACAGATAGTAGAAAATTTGGGTGTCAAAAATAAATTGGGTGTCAGATTGATTTTGAGTTATTTAATGGTTTTTCATATTTTTTTGGGAGGGGGGAAAATAAAAAAAACGAAACCCATTTTTTTACATTAACTAATCCCTAATTTATTTGACACCCAATTAATTCCTGACACCCTATTTTTCTACTATCTGTATTTAGAACAAAAAAATGTAATCTATTGATTTTCTGTTGTAAAACTATTATTACGGATTATTTTATTTTGATTTGAAATTTTATACTTATAATACCTTTTTAAAGAAAAGAAACTAAATAATATAAATGATTAATAAAAAATTATATATATTTTTTAGTTTAATTTAAACTGAAAATATATAAATTAAGAACTACCGCATGCCTCGGAAAAATTTGCTTTTTAAGAAAAAAAGACTGAAGAGGTTGTTTTTTGCGGCAAAAAATCACTTTTGGTAAAACTATTTTTAAAAATACGCAAATAAACGGGACATTAGGTTATATTGAATTGTGATTCCAGAAGATTCAATAATTTTTATCAAATTGTTTTTGATAAATTAACAATTTATAAATATTTATCGATTTTTTATGTATTATTAGCACAATAAAAAAACATAATATAAATTAACGAAAAGATAAATTTAACATATGAATTTTATTAACATATTTTCTTGTATAATTAACACACCGAAAAAAAATTAATTAACGAAAAAAATAATTAATAATTAAAATTATTTATCGATTTTTATTGTAAAATTAACACAGCGAAAATTTACAAATAATTTAACGCAATCAAAATTAACATCTTACTGTTATTAACGTTTTTACATGTTAAATTAACAAACTAAAATGTAAATAATTAACGATAATTCAATAAAAAATGTGTATTTCAAATAAACTACAATGTACAATATCTGTTTGTAATTACAAACATTTATTTGTAATTAATAATTAAATATTTTATTTGTTACAGAATCGACAGAGTAAAATATTTAAAACCACAATTAAACAAACATTATTTGATAATTAAACAATACCGTTTCATTGAAATTATATTTCAAAGAATGACTTGTTATAAATATTTAATTTATTATAAATTATAAACATAAAAAATGAATAAAATGATGTCATGTGCATGATCAACATATAAGACTATGGTCATTTTTCAACATGGAATAAAAATTGCATCACAATTAACAACATTTTTTATAATGATAAATCATTTGTGTTAGAAAAAAACTATTATTTTAAACTTTTCAATATATCTTTCAACCTGTTTATAATTTTGTTGATACTTATTAATGTACAACATAATTGTTTTAGTATTGTATATTTAATTCTGAATTATATTGTTAAAATAAATGTATTGTAAAATGTATAGCATTGGTCATTCAACGTGCCAAACAATGACAATATAAGCAGTTGATTTGTCTGGAAAAAATACATTTTAACAAATAGTTAGTTAATAATGACATCAATAAAAAACATGATTATAACTTCTTTTGTATTTTAATGAACAACAAAAACACCAAATTGAAAAATATAAAACATTGTAACGGTCCATTTGTTTCAAATCATAAACCAATAGAAGTTTACGCTTTACTTTGTTTAAACATTAAAAACACAACAATAAATTTAATTTTCAATATATGGACAGTAATATTTAAATAAGGTACAACAAATTGTGTATTAATATATCATTTAAAACGGCTTATATTTTACATATATATACGTTGAAATCAATAAACTCGAAATTGTGACTTTTATGTATTTGAACTTGATTTTTTTGTAAAAAAAACTTTTTGACATTTAAACAAAAGTGGGTAAATTCATTACTGATTCAACTTCAATACATCTCTGTTGTTTAAAAACAATTTCTTTGACAACATATCAACAACAATATTAAAATATGTTAACAAAAAATACACAACTATAGTTTTTAATTCATGTTAATTCTTAGACTACTAAAAATGATTTTAATGTCTTATGTACACGTTTAAGTGAGTCGCAAGTAAAATCCTAAAATTTGTGTAAACTGTGATACTATTTCAATTTTACTGTTATCTTTTAAACTTTTTGTTTTATGTTACATTTTTACACATTGTAAAGTTACCACTTTTAATATTTTAGGCTGTTTTTAAATCACCAGTGTAGCAATAAACGGTAAAACCCAATACACCAACTGTTGTTATCAAATTAATGAAAATTACTAATTAATAAATGCTTCCATTTTAATTAATTATAATAGTTGTGGTATTATCAAAATATTCATGTTCACTTTTTGTGTTGTATTTTGAAAAATAATAAAACGATAGTTAAGAAATATTTGGATTAATATCTCGCTTGCACATCATTTTCAACAAAAAACTGTTGATATGAAAATTGAGGATATGGAAGTGATTGCACAATGAAATTATTAACAATTGTTTATGTTTGATTTTTCTTTGTATTAACAAATCGTCAATGCAAACACATATAATTACAATTAATAATTGAAAATAACAATGTCATTAACAGTCATTATTCATTCAATAATTCAATTTTACATTTAAATTTGTATTAACAAATATGTATATCTATTATTAATATATTTAAACTTTAAATTGTGTTGATAACTTTGTTATGTGAATAATTGGAAACATTTTTTTACTAAAAGTTAATAAATGTATAATTATTCAAAATAAATTTTAATGATATCATAATATAACAGAAATGATCAATTAAAAAATTTAATTTTGATTTGATAATAACTGTATATATTGTTAATTGTATGTGTATTAACGTAAAACAGACTATTTTAAAATTATATAAATATAAAACTTGCAAACTTTTTTGTTGTTAAAAGTTTGGCATCAAACATAAACTGTTAGATTCGAATATAATTAATATGATTTATTTTTACAACAAATTTTTATTATTGAAAATGTGTATATCTGTATTAATAAGTATATTATGTAAACCGAATACCTCGACTACTAATAGGTTATAAACCATTATTGATTAAATATTAATTATTGGATTTTAAAAAACAATAAAAAAAATACAAATGATGTGATTGTTTTGAGATTGATAATTGATATCTGATGTGCCTGTTTAATTTATTAATAAATCATTTTTTTGTTTATCAACTACAATAACTTTTAGATGTATGAAATTTTAAAAAACTTGTAACAACTCGAATGTTTTAAAAAGGAAGAAAAAATGCAACCAACAGTCAAGAAATTACTTTTATTTTGTTATTTAATTTTATATATTACAACAACACCTGGAATTCAATTATGTTACGTCAAACTATTTAATCGGGCTTTCATGATACCGAGAATTTACATTTCTGAACTGTCTCATCTTTTCTTTTTTGGTTTCATGTTATTGGTAATTCAGTTGGTGTTTATTTTCAGATTATGCCTTTTTGTAACGATATATTTAATACAATGTTTTTAATATATTTTTGACAGATATTCCATAATATTATTTGTAAAACAGGACCAATGTCATTGTTTGCATCCACAATAGTCATTAAGATTATAAGTTGTAAAAAATCACATATCAATTACAAGTGTATATTATTAAAAAAATACATCGACAGTTTTTAGTCTACAATATTATAAAGCAAATATATACTCTAAAATACCACATACAAATAATACAGCTACGACTATTGTGTTAATAACGGGTTACTAATAACAAATTTTTGTTGCATGTTTGATGAAATTTTAATTATTAAATTGATAACAAAATAATAATTTAATAAGTTATTATAGATATTTTATTAAATAAAACTATAATAATTTTATAATAAATTATTATTTAATTAAACAATAAAAATATAAAATAATTAATTATAACAATTATTGTTACAAACTTATAGTTAAGTTATTATTAATTTTAATAATAAATAAAAATAAAATCCCATAATGTTATTTTTAAATAGTAATTCATTTTATAACACAATGAAAACACAGTAATAAAATAATTGAAGTGTTCTTAAGGTGTGTTTGGTTAAAAACGTTTTTCTTCATGTCAATAATTAATAATTAAAATTGTTAATAAAAAATATTATAATTTGTTATAAAATGAATATAATTACAGGATAAATAAATAATATAATACATGTCAAGAATGTTCACATAAACTAAAGAATAAATAAAATTTAATTGTAATAATGGTAACTATTATAATTAAATGATTAGTTCTAATTACTATTTTATTATACTATTTCTAATTTATTTAACATTATTTTATTTGAATTTGTATATTATTTAATTATATCAAAATGATTAAATTTATTATACTTTTAGTTTTTTTGTTAATTTTATTTAAAAAATTATGTTCAAAATGAATTTAAATTAATAATTTATGGATTAATAATAATTTATTAATAGTTTAATTGTTATTTGGGTTTATTTGTGACTTTATTTTACTATTAATATTTCGTTGTTATTAATTTTTTATATAGTTTTTATAAATGTAAATATTTGTTTTTAGAAAATGTTATTTAATTGTTTTTGACAAAATGTACTATTTCATAATATATTATTTATTACATAATTTAATACATAATTATAGTATGTGGGTTAAACATTAGTTAAGATATCGTTAATTTTATTATATTGTTATAATAAATTTGTATAATTTATTATATCATGTATATACTATAACAATTAACCAGTTGTTAATAGTTTAAATACTAGACATTTTTACTATTGTTCTATAAAAGGGAGTAACCATGAGGTGAGTTTTATTTTAATTTGCCAAAAAATATTTTAGTGCAAAAAACAAATTTTTCCGAGGCATGAACTACCGTATTTTCAATAGTAATATTTCTTTTTTTTATTTTTTGTTTATTCTAAAGGG